TTGAGACGAGTGATAAATTTGGCATGCAGTTCGCTCCATGCTAACGGTTAGCAGCGCTACACTTCAGAAGGGCGTTCCACAAATGTTTATGTAGTGCATATATCACACTGAAGCTCAACCATCACATATAAACACGTGAACAAACACACAGAAGACCTAGAACCCATACATAAACAACGACCTTCTTTCAGAAGAGTCGCACTGCTCTCTTTCCCTGTCCACTTTCCCTGATCAGGCCTTTAAATGGCCTGTAGTTTTGCTGCCCGGTAGAAGCAAATCTCCAACACCCCCATAAAGAACTTGCACAAATATCCCTGGACTTCACACTCAATAATAACTGACCATTACACAGCGCAGTGGCCTGCGTTTGGGCCAACTCCTCACTAATGAACCCTGCTGTATAAATAACAGCACGCCAGGGCACATAAACACACTGAGCAGAGTAACACTAGCAGTGAGACAGATGCATATGGGTGGGTGTTAAAAGTTTGGGGACATAGCTTTGCAAAGCGTTTTTAATTTATATAAGTATGTTCTGTTGGTCAGTTTTTAATAACTTAGTACAGAGGTCACTAATAGGTGGACCGCAGCCCAAGTCCAGACCCAGACGCTGTCCTATGCGGACCTGAACCTATAACCAATAAACTGTGGAGAATTATTTCATTTGAATGATGTGGTCCTATTTGTAACTTTTCTAGCCTTTACAGTGCCACTTTAGCGGCCAGGGAAACTCAGAAATCAATCGCATACGTTGTACATATCATACATGACACTCAGCCAATCACATCTGTGCATCTAGACTAGCAAAACTTCTGACAGGGTGGACCAAAACTGAGACTCGAGACTCGAGTGAGTGACACACACACAGGGGAGGGACGAGGTGAGAAACAGCAATCGGAGAAGAAAGTGAGTCGAAGGGAAGTTATTTCACATGGAAAGCTCCAAAAACAGAGCTGGAGTGGTTATAAAAGCAAATAAGTCCATTCTTTTCCAAATTATCGTTGTTCGTCTTAAATCTCTCTCTTTGCCGTTTCGTTAGCTACTAGCTAGGCAAGACTGTTCTCTGCATTGCTATGGTGACCAGCAGTCTGGGCTAATCTTCAGGGATAAAGGTTGGTGAATTAGCAGTTATATATTAACTCCAATGTTTAAGACTGACTGACTCAGCAGAGCAGAAGATTATTTTATTTTTATCTAGAAAACTAATTCTGCTGTGGAGCCACAACAGGGCAGTAAAAGAGCTGCATATTGCTGACCACTGGACTACAAAGTATACTTACAAAAAACTGGCTCATCAATTTAACCTAAAAAAAAAAAACTTCATATGGTAAGTAAATGAACTAGTTTTCTTCAACGTGAATAAATATCTTTTTTCAATAATCAATGTATTTTTTTTTAATTGAATAAAACTACTTGAACTTCTTTTTACTACATGAAGTAATTTTTTGGATTTTGGATTAATGTGTTACCATGATCGGGTGCCACTGCTCACCAGCCCTCTGGACCGGCTTACCAACACTGAGCCTCCGGCTGTACAACGCCGTGCAAACCTCACCCTCACAACCTGACCCCACTGATACTACTGCTGTTGCTACATGAACTAATCAAAATTATTCACTTGAACCAATCAATCATTTAAACTAATCAAATTAATCAATCACCCATTACAGAACTGACTCTGTGTGTTTTTCCTTTCTTTCCTTTGCCGAGTTGAACAGCTGCCCATCCTGTGCGTCTGATGCTGCTGCCTCTTCTGTCTTGATCGGGTGCCACTGCTCGCCGTGCAAACCTCACCCCCACAACCTGACCCCACTGATGCTGCTGCTGCTGCTGCATGAACTAAACTATTCAAATTAATTGTTTGCTCCACCTTTTACCCCGTTTTTGTATTATAATACTTTATACTAACAATGTTTACTATCCGGTGTCGACCAGAGGAGGATGGGTTCCCCTTCTGAGTCTTGGTTCCTCTCAAGGTTTCTTCCTGTTTCTCTTAGGGAGTTTTTCCTTGCCACTGTCGCCACTGGCGATGCTCATGGGGGCTTGGACCCGGATTTCGTTTCTTTTTGTAATGCTCATTTCCTTGTAAAGCTGCTTTGTGACAACACCTGTTGTAAAAAGCGCTATATAAATAAACCTTACTTACTTACTTAATACTTACTATTATCTTTTTTTCCTCATTAAGAGATTAGAAAAATGTAATTTAATCAAAAGTGAAAAAAATGACCAGATTCTGCAGGCATGACAAGCATACTGCGGTGTCGGCATAGAATAAGTTGTGGCAAATGCTCTTTTACTGAACAGGCAGCAAGAGAGAACCGCATCTTAGCGTTAACTGACATTGCTAAGATAGCAGGCAGGTCACTTCTATCCGTACAAATCTCCTTCATGGTAGAAACTAACAACAACACACGCAGCACATCAGTACCTCATTAAGCTAACCACAACAACTTATTTACAATAAATTTCTCTCCTACACAGTGATTCCCAAGAGCCTCCTCAGGGTATTACCAACATGCTTGGAGATCACTGGTTTAGATGTTACCAGTTTTCTTTCCAAAACCCGTGAAACTGAAGGAACAGCTGATAAAAGCCCTACATCAGAAATAAAGCCAAAGGCCACACATTTTACCCCCTTGTTGTGATGTCAGCACTCCATCCATTCAAGCTTTTAAGGCACATTTGGGCCAAAAAGTTTCAAAATGTGCTTTTAACAATAGTTCGGAAAGGAAAACTGTCTAATGATTATTTAGACAAAATCCATACAGAATTAGAGCATCACTGTTTTATGCTGCCTAAACATTTCCAGGTATTTTTTTCTGACTTACTTGAAAAGTAATTGACACCTGAAGGTGAGGTGGACCAAAACTTCTGACAGGATGGACCAAAAACTTCTGACAGGCAGTTTACATGCAAACACAGACACGCATTAGCCAAGTCCTTTTAGGCCCATCTTGTCCAGTGTTAGTTTTGTAAGGCTTTTATAGATCCCCTAGAGCACATATGCAAGCGCACTGGATGAAGTCACTGTTTTCCAGTGGGCACGCCAGCAAGCTGGACATAATGATTTACACACTGCAGCTTCATCTACGTGTGTGTGGAGCCTCGTGAACATCATGCCCCACTTTGCTGAACAGATATTGCTTACTTAGTTCATTTGAAGGAAAGTGGTGGTGCTTTATTTATACCCAGTTGCATATTTGCCTTCAAGCTAAACAAAAATATTCTCACATCAAACTATGCGCAGTGGGTTGTCGTCATGGCAACTCAACCTGTGATGCTCCTTGACTTTCTTTTCTTTAATTCTTGCAAAACAAGACAGAGGGCATGCTGGGTCGAGCTCAAAGAAAACAATAACAACTTCGCAACTGTATTTGTATGGAGATGATGGAGGATATTTACCCAGCAAACTACAGTCATAATAATGGAAATGGTTTTGCGGAATTAAGAACATCGTTGATTCACCAACCGTTCTTAAGAAGAAATTTCTTCTTAAAACCCTCTTATGCAGTTTTTACGAAGACTCATTTGACGCATAGATTGCTTTTGTAAAATGGGAACGGTAAGCAAAGCAATTTGCCTAAACTGTGCTAGTTTAGATGATATTACAAGAGAAAGCTATAAACAGAAAATGACAACATACATTGTGATTCAAAAAGATTAATTCGATTTCAAAATGATTTATTTCACTTGTAAGTCATTACAGAACAATGCAGTGGATTGTAAATGGTTTAAATGAGCATAAAGTTTATTATGTAATTTTACAAGTGCTCAATATGAACCTCCTCCAGCTGTACGGACAACATTAACATAATAGTCAAATTCATCCCATACTCTCAGAAACTCCGTGACCCCCTCTTTCAGTTGGTATGTGATTGGTTCCTAGGCGCCCCATGGTTCTAAAATATAGCGCTTTGAAATTGGATTAATCTTTTTGAATCACCCTGTATGTTGGACATGATTTTCTGTTTATACATGTCTCTCGTAATATCGTCTAAACAGAAAGTCACAACTGGACGTGATCCTTATGTTATAAAGATGAACGATTTTTTAACTGAATCAAATGACTTGCCTGCTATCGAGGCAGTAGATACAAGCAGCTACCTCATCCTCCAGACTTCTTTCTACTCAAGAAAACAACTGAAAGCGTACAAAAGTATAAAGGCACAACTTTACGAGGCTGAAGCTGGCTTCCTTTTCCTATTTTCCCATTCCACTGCAGCAATTATTATAATAATACTTGATGCCAGACTGTAACTGCTGCACTGTTTAAGGTGGAATGTGAAAATTTGGACAAGAAGCTGGCATGGCAGGGTCATTTATTTATGTTCGCCGGTTTTTTGTGTAACTGTTAACCCTGTTAAATGGTAATGGTGTTGCTTGTAGTTAATGTTTAAATCTACTACCAATGCACACCCAGATGAACTGTGCAAAATACAATACTGCACTTGTCTCAACTGCAGACAAAAGTTCTCAAGCCATTTTTTGCTGTTGTTTTTTGGTCAATTTCTTGCATTTTTCTCCTTACAAACAACAACTTTTTGTGTTCAATAAAGCTCCTTGTGGTTTCTTGGTTAGTTCAATTTGAGCAACCATAAGCGATGCAAACCACAGGCATCTTGGCAGTTCGTGACAGCTCTTCCTTTTTAAAAGATGACTAGCTGCCCTCCATCTACAGTTCACACCACAGCAACGCACTGATGTGATGTCATATGCAAACAGGCTATAAGAGCATGCTCTATGTTTCCTTGAACTGGACAGACTTGACTTATCTGCCTAACTTTGCAAAATACCCATGGAGATCTTTTGCAGCTTGCTTTGCAAACCTGATCAAGATAACCAAAAATACTGAGCCCCAGAGAGTCAATTACGGTTTATTAGAGTTTTTGACGCACAACTTCTGGCCAGTAGATCTCCACGAGTAGAGCTATTATCCCTGAACTATAACACAACCTCACAACGCACAAATTCAGTCAGCGAAAAAAGTAAAAATCTCTTACCTTCCGTGTACGCAGTTTAACAGGGGGTTCCTGAGGTCTCTCTAACCCATCCTTTCCATCCACATTTGGGCTTGCCTGATGACTCATGCTGGGTCCAGCAGATTGGGGCGCTCTCATGTTGCTTTCCAATGAATTCTCACTGACAAGCGGAAGCTCAGTGACCTCGCTGTTTTGGCAGTTTCCCAAAAATTCCTGCTTAGCTATTGCCCCAGAAGAACACTTCTGAAGCACTTCCTTCTGCAGTGGGTTGTGTTCCATATCCTTGGAGCCCATTAGTGTTGTCGAACAGTCAGACTCCTCTGCCATCTCCCAGCCAATTACTTCTTCCCCTGACTCAGGAAAGGACACTTCAAGGATTGTGTCCAGTTTAGAGACACGCTTGTCAGCACTGGTGCTGGATCCTGGCGAGCATGGAGAAGATTCAAGGTCAGAGGATGCATTGAGGTTTTGAGCTTGCAAAAACTCACCAACAGTGACTGCCTGGTCACTATTCTGGCTGTTGTTTGCTGTACAGTTACTTTGAATGTCAGGATTTGGAATGTTAGCATCAAGGCTCACATCTGGAATGACCACCTCGGAGAGTGTAACCTCATTAGTCTCATCCGCATTTGAAATGGCAATCTTTTCTTCATGACTTCGACCTTCTACATCACAGTGTTCCTCACTTAAAAGTGGTGCAGGTGAGGCCTCTTCAGATATGCCCTTGGCTAAGGTTGTTCCTTCAACATATCCATTTATTTGCCCTTGGTTATTTATTGTGCAAGCTTCTACCACAGAATCACTAACAGCATCAATTCTGTCCTTGATTTTGGTTAACTCTGTGACTGAGTTCTGCATCAATTTCATTGCTACTTCTTCTTCAGGGGTCATATCAGTGCAATCTTTTTTAGATGCGATGGTAGGCAAATCAAGTTTCTTGGGGTCCTCTTGCAGAACATTTGCAGAAGAAGGGACAGAGAAAGAAGAGGTAGGAACAGCAGCAGTTTCTTCATCTTGCTTTTGAATTTTATTGCTATTATTTCCATAGTCATCACTAGGAGTTTGATCAGCCACAGGTGTTGACTGGCTGTGACCAGAGCCCTGTCCTGCAGAGCTTCTTGATGATTGGTTAATATCCTTCTCGGTCATTGCACTTTGGACCGAACTGTCTGTCTCATGGGCACGACCTGTTTTTCTATTCTTGCTGTGCGACTGTGCATTTTCACTTTCACACCTAGAGGGTGCCAAATCTTTAAATCCAGGTAATGTCTTTGTCCTCCTGGTTGCAACATCATCATTACCCTCACTACCCTCATCTTTCTCACCACTACTCCCAATCCCTGGTCGGTGACGGCGACATTCCGGCATCGAAGCACACCTCTCTCTCCGGCTCAATCCCGTTGGCGAGCCATTGTCTCCAAGGATGCCGTGGCAACAGACTAGGTCAAGGTCATCGTAACTGTACTGTGTTTTCGAGCGTGGGGTCACATGATCCTCCCAGCTCTTCTTGCGCAAGGCTACAGGCATGGCCGACGACCTCCACTATCCCATAGATCCTCTGGTCCAGCCACCCACGCAAAGCGTTAAAGCAGACCTGAGAGAATGAGAAGAGAAAAAAAAGGAAGGAGGAGAAAAAGATCACATTTGCGTGAGATTATTTCCGTTCACTCCTCCGCGAAGGGGTCAACAGATTTAACAGATGTCAGATGTGAACTTAGTGCCTAACGTCATGTGCGAAACATTGGCAGACAGTTAATCATCACCATTATCATCAAGTGGTCATCAACAGCTATTCAAACCCAACCGCAGCAGCATTCTACATACACCATATTCGAGCTTTGACCTAGTTAGACTCTGATGCTACTCTTAAAACACAAGGCATCATTTCATTATTCAGTTCAGAAACAAACAGTGTGGACAAGCCCACAAACAGTGCCCAACGCCTTAAATGAATGGGATTGAATGAGATGAATGAGATGTGAGATAAAGGTAGTGGCATTGCAGATAATGAAGGAAAGCTAGACAAATGGCCTATCTGGGTTTAACCTTGTCCAAAACTAGGTTTATGTCCTATGCATGTAACATGTGCAATTCAAAGTGCACATTTGGACGAGGGGTCCTTAAACAGTATTGTTAAACCAGTGCTAGCATACTGCTTTATGACCCGTCATCCACTTTTTGAAGTCACGCAACATAAATACAGGGTATCTCAGGATGACTGTCACATAAGGTTCATATAGATTACATGTTTTTATTTAAGTTTTCCATAAAATCTAGCAGGGGTGGGCCAGTGTGCATTAGCGCCCAGCTAGCTTACGAGCCAAACTCACCACCTATTATTTCTATCAACTTTATTTTATTTCATGTTGGGAATCGTGGGGTTGCAAACTCCAAACGTTTGAGAACTATTTGGCAGTATTGTCTACTGTTTCAAAATAACTTTGCCTGTTTTCTCTGAGGAGTTGGAGCAAATTGATGATTTTGAGCCATGCATATCATGAACAACATGACTGGCTATTAATGCATTAGTGTTGTGGTCCACAGGTACGAAGTTCATCATTTTGCACTGAATGGTTTTTATAAGCATTAAATATAGCAGAATCCAGAAGTGAAGCCCTGATATGTTCTGCCTTTATAAATTGTTTTCAACACTTATTTAAGACTGTTATAATCATTGACCATCATTAATTGAACTTGTGCCATCATTACGTTAATATAATTTTCCTCTTGTGACTTTTACGATTATCAAAGTATTTTTTTTTCAAACTTTTTATCTAAATATGCAGATCAGAAAAAGAACATATTGTTTTTCACTGTACTTCACTGACAAACAATGGCAGAAAAGCTGCAAATACACTTTTTCATCTAGTTTTACATTTGAATTGCTGTATGCTTTTGCCTTCTGATATTAGTCCCCCCACCTGTCAGACCACCTGTCACTTTGGAGAGTGGTCAAGCCTAGGACTACAGAAATCTTGACTATTGGTGCATTTAAGATATGGCATGTAAGGAGAATCACATGCTTATTACAACCTCCCTGAGAAAATAGTGTACTGGACACTGGACATATTTACAATACAGCCAAGACTATTTTTTATTTAATTACAGTTATTTCATTAATTATAATTATTGGGAATGGTATACTTGCCAACTGTAAACTTTCTCAATGTGCCCATTTTAAAAAGTCACACGCAAGCATGAATCATGACTTCCGTCCACTTTTGCAGGCATCACGTCATAGTGTGGATGCACCAGGGCTAAACAGTCCACCCCACACAATCAGATGAGCATTTCAGCAGAGAAGCCTCCACCCCCTCAAAAGTACAGTTGGACCACTCTCCTTCCTCTGGGCTACTTTGCAGTGCTTAGCTGCGAAACCCAATCTCCCTGATAAATTTAGCCTCGAAAAGTTCAGAAAGTCCCAAAAATGGAAAGGAAAGGGGTAACAAATGAGAAAGGAACTCTGCCACACACTGTGGCAACAGCAGAAGCTTTTGATGAGCCTGACATCCCTGCGAAGTTAGCGGTTAGTTCCCTGGAAAAGGAACATCTGGTCTAGTGGTCCAGCCCAGAATGGAAGAGCACATTTTGTTTCCTCCGGCTAAAGCTATATCTATTCATGGTCTGTTATATGTTATCATCAGATGTTACCCTCAGAGAGAAAGAGATTCGGCAATGTAAAGGATTAATTGTAAGAATTATCTAGAAACATATAGCAGATCAAGAATAATCACCAGTCATCCGTACCTACCTTTTCTCTTCCCTTCTTTTCTCTGTGAATGGTTCTCACTGTCCGTTGGCTGGCGAGGTCCAGTCGTGGCGATGTCGCAACCTGTTACCCGCAGTCCCTGGTGAGTGGTGATCTCACTCGCCTGACACTGCCCTGTCCCAGAGTCATCCAGGTCACTGAGGTCACAAGTCTCCAGGGCTGCAAGCTCTCTAAAACTGCATCCCTAACCAGAGGGACAGCCAGATGCCGCTCATTTGACCGTCTTCAAAAAATCTCCAAAAATCCAAACAACAGAATAAAAATCAACAAAAAAGGTCTGAGAATCCAATAGATGCACAGACTGGGGAACCAACAGTACTGAGTCCTCAGTGCAAATCTTTTGAAGAGTTTAAAACTTCAAGTAAACATTGAGGTCTGACAGACATCGCTTGACTTGGCTTACTGTAAGCTGTAAGTGTGGAAACAGTTTGTGTCTCCTTGGTCTCAGTTTGTAAAACCTTCACTAGAAGATCAAAACTGGATGCTCATGAAAAGATTCTTCCTCTCTTTGTGCTCCAGGCTCTGTTATCCAGATGATTGGCCACCTTTTTGCCCCCCTGGGTCTCCAGATTTGAGGCCAGCCTTCTTGGTAACAAGCATGGAAAGCCAGGAAGTGTACAAGTGTCTGGGAGGTAGGAGCAAAGTGCCAAGAATGTGAAGGATCCACCAACAATGCTGAGTTTTGGGGCTCAATGATGGGATCTGACAGCACCGCTTGACTGGTCTTGCAATCTGTTCATGACTGTAGAAGCAGTTTGCACCTCCTTAGTCTGAATTTGTAAAGGTTTAACTGGAGGACTTGAACGAGGTTCTGTGCTGTATCTCCTCTCCTCATCTGAGCATTCTAGGCTCTGTTATCCCGATGTATATCCAGATCTATTTAGGTCTTCTTCACCTCCTGGTTCTTCAGATCTCCAGGCTTCTTGGTGCCTCAATCACTGAGCCTTCCCAGACTCAGCTAGGCCACGGAGAGGGAGAGAAAGTGGGAAAGAGTGAATGAAAGAGCCGGGTGGTGCAGGAGCCTGCAGCCTGGAGCTCATCTTGATCGCATTAGCGGGTTTTAGCTGACGCAGGGCGCTCGTGCCGGCGGGATATGACTGCTCTCTTTCTCTCCGATTCCATGCGCTCCTGACACTTTCCGAGACTGAGTCATCCCTGTCTTTACCCCCCTCTCCCTCTTTCTCTCTCCCTCTTTCTCTCTCTCTCTCTCTCTCTCTCTCTCGTTAACTGTCGTCTGTTTATTCTCTCTTCTTTCTGCTGTCTGTCCTCCCACAGTTTTCTCAGAGTTTAATACTTCCTCTGGAGTGACTCTCGTTCTCTCTCCCTCTCTCTCTATCTCTCTCTCTCTTTCTCTATGGGTTTGACGTCTGCGAGTTACCCAGGGAGAGAGCTCTCGGCAGTTGGTTTTGATTAGAACCAGGCGGGCCGCCGCGAAAAAGGTCCGCGACTCATGGCCAAGTTAGACTGCTGTAATGCTTCTTGGCTGTCCTTTCGGACCCTCTGTTTTTTTTTATACCTCCTCCTCTCAAATCGGTCACCCCTGTAACTGTACAGGCATCCTTGCACAAACACCCAAATATGAAGGGGAGATAAAAAAAAAAAGAAAAACACAAGAAGAGAAAAGTTCAAACAGCGCCACGTGGTCTTGCAGACATTCCTCTCCGAATGTGCCACCCGTATGAAAACACGAAACTTGGCCGCCGCATCTTGAACGACGTTTTTTGCACATCTGGGTAAGGAGGCCCTTCAAATCTCTGGAACAGTGACTCAACTGTGTCTTTAGGCCTCGGCTAAGGAAAACAAGTTCTAGTGCGTTTCTCTCTGTGTGTAGCCCATTCATTCCCTAATATAGACATAGTGTTTGACAGCTAAGCACTCTCTCTCTCTCTCTCTCTCTCTCTTTCTCTCTCTCTCTCGCTCTCTTGCTGTATATTAAAGGCACAGGACCTGCGACTGCTCTTCTGAAGCTAATTCACCCCGAAGGAAGAGCGACGGGGAAGACACTGTACAAACCTGCCTTCTGTCTAAGGCGTCTAAAACGAATGACACGAGAGAAGCAATGAAAGTCTGCTTCTCTCTCTCCATTACATCTATGCATGATGTTGCCTAGCTGCCTCTAAGCCTCTCTTATCTGGGATATGTGACTACTCAGACTGATAACTGCGACTGAGGAGACGTATTCTGCTAAAACTGGCTAGAAACAGATCAGCCTGACAAGCTTGCTGAATGTTCTCACATAGATCTATCACGACCCTCCAGAGAGTCGTACCTAGTAGTCAAAACAGTTGCATCAGTTCCTCCATGAAAGTGAACCCAAATCGTTGCTCCATGACCAAAAACAAACTGAACTCACTACCCGCATTACAACCTTCAGCTGTGAGAGGATGTATTTGTATGTATCTGTTATATTAGTTATGAAATTGTTGGTTTATATCATTGACTTGCTGCTAGAAACACCCTATAATATTCATAATTTCTTCAATTACAACAAATTTCAATACACTCAGTATCCATGGGGAGCAATATGGCTTCTGTCGTTTTGTAGGATTATAAGGAAAAGAAACAAAATCATTCAGTGCAAAAAGTGAAATCTTAACAAGCCGGAAAATGGCCTTCATATTCCAACAAAGGGTTAAAACAGCGACAGTTTTCACACATCAGATCACTCATCAGACTCTGCCTCACCTTCCAGAGAGATTTTATCCACCTGTGACCGTCCATCAGCCAGCAGTCCAGCTCCAAAATCACCCAAACCCACTCGCTACTGTTATATTACATCTCTGCTTTTAGCCTTCATATTATAAACAAAGGGCTTTTAGTTTACATTGATTTTCAGTATTAAAAATATCTGATATTAAATATGCAACTCAATTTGTAATTAAAAATAAAGGCTTTCTTGCTGTGTATCAGAGTTTTAGCACTCAGCCTGAATCCAAGAGGACAGGAAATCGATAAAAAACGTGTCCGGCTTATGCTAATTGTTTATTTTTACTCATAATAACCAACAGAATGAATCACCATCAAAAATCAATAAAAAAAAAAATACAAAATTTAGCAGGTGCTAGGTAAATTTTTTGATCGGAAGTGACCCAAATTCATAAAGATATCAAATTTCTGTTAGCATTTACATGTCAAACAATGGCATATCTGAGTAGCCCACGGCCTCCGGAAAATAACTACACATGGCATGTGTGACTGTCACATGTAAATACTTTATAATTGCAATTGTAATTGACCCAAAAAATACCAATCCCAGAAATTTTAGGTTTATATTGCATGTATAAGATTAATCAGAGAGCTTACAGAAAATTTTCCACAATTACAATGGAAATTAACCAGCTTTTTCTGAGAGAACAAACATTTTCAAGCTTTTCAAATTGAAAAAAAAAGAGATTTCAAGACAATTTTACTTAATTTAAAAATTGGACATAATTTGGGTTCATAGTCTTACAAAAAAAATCCAAAACATTTATTCTTAAAATAAGTTGTCAGGAATTTTCTTTTTTACGTAATGGAGAACTTCAGAACTCTTCAAGCTATCTGATTAATTTCATACATACAAATCTGGTCTCATGTGTTCAAATTTAGATTAAAAAAGACAGATTTTCTGATTTCAGATTTTAATTTTTGCAGCGTCACTGCGAAAAATTCACTGCCAAATGAGCAGCTGAATGATTTATTTCTTTTTGATTTTGTTCCATTTTAAGCCAGTGTATTAATCTCTCTGGACTTAATAAAGCAGTTCATCACATGTGCATGTGTATCTTTAATATTTCATATTTCATTTCAAAAGTTTGTGCACAAATATGTCCATTTTAATCTTTAAAGTTTGTTCAAGCATTCTTATTTCAAGATTTTTTTAAACAAATGTGGATACTTAAAAGATTAGATTTGCAAGTTTTTGCTTATTATATTGCTATTATGATACCAGCTCAAATTATTGTTACTTAAATTCTGCCACAGTGTCTTTATCTAATGAGCTATTACCTTATTTTAAGATTATAAGAATTTATGGCACAAGATCTTTTTTTTTTTATTTGAATTTTACCACATACTGATGGACAATTTAGCTTTTTTCTTGATTTGGTTTTATTTGACCCCCATTATTTATTTAGTTATTTATTTAATTTTGGCACCAGGCAGAACTTTCCACAATGGTAACAGTAAAAGGAGATGAGCTCAAGAGAGTGAGACCCACAGAAGTCACAGTGCGGTGCATGATATACAGAACGTAGCACAATAGTGATGCACAAACGATGCTAATATACCCAAGTTCCAGCACATTTTCTGCTTCCAATGCTGTTACTCAACTAGCATAAGATGACTATATTAGCCCAGTGAGGTAATGTTAGGCTGCATGTTGGGAATTAGAACATCTCCAGGATGAGACGAACATTTCAGTGATGTTCAGTATGATGTACTAAAACGGTGATGCTTTACATTAAGGTTTGCTAATTAATCATTAATTCTATGATAAAAAAAAAAAAAACTACTGATTTCCCACTATTTACTTATTAGTTAACTCTTCATTAAGCAGTAGCTATTACTCAGTAATTGATTAAGTACTTAGCCATCAGTAGTTGAGTACACTGTTAATTGCTAGGTTAGGCTGTCATTGGTTTATGGCTTTCTTAGTCTTTATCTGTGTACTAGCAGCTACTTATTACATTGTTAATGAACTAATGAGAATATGAAGAAGTAACATGACAAGTTAGTAGCACTTCTGTTTTAGTCTCATTAATTACCTGTTAATTAACTGTTCCATCACCTCCACATATTCAGCTGTCTCACTTTTCTTACATTGGTTCTTGTTCATCAAAGTTGCTTATGGTCACATTTGATAGTAAAATGAGGATATGCAAATTCACAGTTTTGTTATTCATCAGTTCCATCTCTACAAACTAACTTCCATCTTCCATCTGTACAAACTAATGCAGGAATGGTAGGAGTGCATGTGGGGGAAGTAAAGAAGTAATTAATGGTTAAGTAACAGTTAGCAAAGAAGTAATTAATGGTTAAGTAAGCAGAATTTAAGAAGTAATTAATGGTTAATTAAGCAGAATTTAAGAAGTAATTAATGGTTAAGTAACAGTAAGCAAAGAAGCCATTAATGGTTAAATAAGATGAATTTAAAAATTAATTAATGGTAAAGTAAGCAGAATTTAAGAAGTAATTATTGGTTAAGTAAGCAGAATTTAATAAGCAATTAATGGTTAATTAAGCAGAATTTAAGAAGTAATTATTGGTTAATTGAGCAGAATTTAAGAAGTAATTAATGGTTAATTGAGCAGAATTTAATAAGCAATTAATGGTTAATTAAGCAGAATTTAAGAAGTAATTAATGGTTAATTGAG